TTGCCCAAAACCCACTGCCATTTGGATGTACTATACAAGTATTTCCCTAAAAGCCACATGAAATATATTTTTAATCAAGTTAAGGTAGAAGGAATACTGACAAAATTGCATTTTGGTGATCAAGTGTTTCAAATAACATCTGGCCCCTAAAAGTTTCTTGGATGAAAACAAAACCTGGAAAATGTCATGGGCAGCTATTTCTCTCTAGTTCTGGTCTAGGAAAACTTTGCATGTTCACCAGTGGCTGGTTGGAGCCAGGAGACTCCATCAGCTCTCCAAATCACAGGGGATTATTACAGGCTTGATTATAAATTACTTGTCAACCCACAGCAAACACAGGCTGATTAGTGGGCAGGTTCCTTGTTGCCTAGGAGAGAATGGCCTGAGGGACATGGGTTCTTCCAGTGCTCGTAGAGCTAAACCACGTCAAGGGAGGGGAGATACCCGCAAGAAATGCCTAGAAACTGGTAAGTATATCCACTATTCTGAAGCTCAAGCCATGCCCTGAAAAGTCACATGGAAGCAGCTAAAGCAGACAAGAAGATGCCTGCCTGTAGGCTCCCAAGGGGACCCACGAGCCTCTGAACCTCTCTGTTCACCGTTATTGTCACTGCTTGAAAAAACCTGCAAGGACAATTTGGGTCCTGCGAAACAGTCCACATTTAAAGAAAAAAAAATCAGTCTCAATCTGGTTGTTATTTCCTTACTACCTAATCCCTCAAACAGTTTAAGATATAACTTAGCTAATTTTATTGTTCTCTTAACTTTTTAGTAAGCTTGTTTTAAACTTATTTCAATCATTCTTAATCCCTATCTTCTTACTACTTTAACTTCATTTCTGTTTTTCTAGTATCCATGCATATTTTAATAATTTCATTTATTCATCTGAAAATATTTATTGATCATCTGTTATGTCTCAGGCATTGTTTCTGGTGCTAAGTCCACAGTGGTAAGAACTGAGTGAATTACATGAGACGTTTAGTAGACTTTCTTGAAAATTAAAATTTTTAAAGTTTGGTTATCATACAACACATGAATATACAGACTGCCCATCAGAAGAAAGATGATTTTGGTTACATTTGTAGGCCACACGAAAACTGCCCCAATATTTTGTATGGAAGTGAAAATAGCAACCACTTATAGAGGGCTTACTCTGCACCCAAGTCTTTACAAGTAATAGCCAACTTAATCCTCCCAGCAACCCTCTGAGCTGGGTCATTATAATCTCCATTTTATAGACGAGAAAACTGAGGCACAGCAATCTTAAGTGACTTCTTCAGAGTGAGTCACTGGTGAGCTGGCCTTGAACCATGGCCATCTGGTTCCAGATTGCCTTTCTCTAACCCCAGTGGGGCTGAGGTCTCCACAAGGTTTGCTTCTGACAACATTTAGAGCAGCAGGAGACAAGTCGACACATGTTTTTGGAAAAAGAATTGTGTCCCAAAGACAGCTGGCAATAAATATTGCTGATTGGTTGCCTGATAAGGATGGAATGGGGTTTGGAGAATTTCATACGCTCATGAAATAAACATGTGATTTTGACCTTTCAAAAGTGACAGGAACTATTCAAACTATCCCATTTTAATCTTTTCACCCTGTTCACCCTTCACTTTAGACTGTACTGTCCTGGGAGAATCTTGTGCTGCCTTGGCTTTCCAAGGGCTGAATAAATGCTCAAACACATACAACCTGGGAAACAGGCATACAGCTACCCTTGGTAGTATCAAAAAGACACTTCCGCTGCTCATAAAAGTGACAGTATCCTATACAACCCCCCCCTCACCTTTTTTGTGGCTGTCTGGACTGAGTTCCAGAAAAGCTAAACAAGATTTGCCAAAATCCACAGTACTAGATCATTTGACATCTTCTATAGGATCTTAATCAAATGATTCCTCAAGATGGGTAAACTTCTGTGTCTTGGATCACATGCTCATTATGCAAGTTATAAAGAGTGGTCCTTAGACCACAGTATTGGCATCACCTGGGAGCCTGTTAGAAACGCAGACCCTTAGATCCCACTTCAGATGTGCTGAATCAGAGTCTTTATTTTAACAAGACCCTCAGGTAATTCACCTGAATGTTAAAGAAATGCTGGAATGGTCACTAATTCCATTTTCCAGATATGTTAGTTGCAGAGATGGAAGTTGTTGTTGATGCTGTATTGGCTATAAACACATTAATCTCTTGAAAGATATATTCTCAGCCTCACCTTGTAATTTAACTTAAAATTATCTCCCTGATGCGAAAAAATCTTCAGTTTCTTTTTATGGTAGGTCTAGACTGTAAGACCCAGTTATTCCTCGTTGATCAGATATTAAGGCTTCAGATGTGCAAAACTATGTTTCTTATGAGACCCACAAAGAAGGGCCAGTTGCTCTCCATCTGTAAAATGACTCTCACTGGTGTTCTTTCTTGAGTGCAGGTTAATAACCTTTCCCAAACCACAGCAAATCCCTTTAGCTTAGATGGCAGACATAAATCTCAGCCCAGCTCCTGTTCAAGTTATCAAAAAGTAATCAAAATAATAACTGCCACTTATGTGGTGCTTACAATGTGTCTGGTGCTATTCTGAGAGTTTAATGTACAAAAAGTCACCTAATCTTCACAAAACCCCCTATTTTATAGCTGAGACACTGAGGTACAGAGAAGTTAACAGGCTTGCCCAAGGCCACACAGCTAGTTCATGGTAAGGATTCTAACCCAGGCATTCTGTCTCTAGAGTCCATGCTGGTAACCACTGTACCACACTGCCTCTTGAAATCCAAAATAATGCTGCCCACGGTTCCAAGAGGCCTTATTATCAAAATGCGCTCATAAGAAAGACTGATCATTTACTTAGGAGAATATAATTGACTTCAGAGATTTTACTCAACAAAAAGAAATAATAGAAGCTGGCAGATACTTACACTATTTTATGAAGCAAAAACATTACCTCTGGTCTCTGATCCTTGATTGTGATTGCAAGACCACATGGTCTGCTGCTTGAAAGTCCTTTACTGGCTCAAACCTTAAATTGCCTTATGATTTCTATAAATGAGAAGTAGCTGGAAACTCTAAGGATTCATATCACTGGCATTGCTAATCTATTAAATCACTGGTCTGGTTTCTCTTTCGAGCTGCCAATAGCTCGACTGTTTTTCTAAATCAAATCTTATGGACAATTACAATATACAAAATCGGACAAAGTCTTGTGCTTTGGTTGAAGCAGAGGGGAGCTTCTTGCCCTCTACTATCCATCTCAGTATCCCCTAAAGGCATGTCCCTAAAACTTCAGGGTCCTGGAAACAGGAAAGGAAAATACCATGTGAGACAGAGTGAGTGGCTTAGTATATGTATTAACTCAGCTCCCTTTAGCTCTGCCTGATACTACACCCAACAACATCTTTTGCTGCTACACCTGGAAGTCCTCAAAGGATCTTAACCCTCTTCTGCAGAGCTTAACGGCAGGAAACTCTTTATGAACAGCTGAAAAGGGCACTCACTGACCAATGCTTGGCAAAACAGAAACGAGTCACATAAACATAACAAAGGGTCTTTTCCTATGGCAAAGTAAGCAATAGGCCTGCCAGGGGTGTGGACAGCAGTCAGATATGCTTAACCTTGTGAACTTTCATTGTTTGTTGTTCAATTACTTTGTCTGCACTAGAAACACACAACAAAACAATCCATATATCCTAGGCAGGGTATAGGTTAAAACAAAAACAAAAAAACTTTGGTGATAGTTCAGGACATACAAAAACCGATAAGTCCCAACCAATAACCAGGACCAATCTGTTAACCATCCCATGAATCCCATTATCCCTGATGGTGCACATCAAAAAATTTAAATGTACACAAGTTAGTTTTAAATAGCTTTAAATGCTGCTTGTCCCTGGGAGAATGGCAAAGTAACTCCCATTATCTTGATGCACTCAGTGTGAGGTGCCATGTGTAGTACCCGATGTCAAGGCTTCTCCCAGATCCCCTCAGATCCCTTTAACCATTTCTGTGCCTCCACCTCAAAGTTAATGGCCATAATCAATGGCCATTGGGTAAAGGCGCGTGAAAGCCCAGCTCCCTTGCCAGGGATGGACTCAGACATTTCTGAGGCATGTTGATCTTCTAAAGTCTCTTGCAGGATAAAGCTAAAGCCGCCCTCTTCAAGACTTTGCCTGAGATGGCAGCCTTGCTTCACTTCCTCCCCTACCTCGTCCTGATTCGTTTTACTGTTCTCCTAGGAACACTTACTTAAAAATCACTTGCATGGAAATCCTCATCTCAGGGTCTGCTTCTGGGAAACTCCACCTAAGAGAGCACACTACCCAGCTTGCCATTACCTCAAATTGGTTGGTGTGAGGAATCTTATCCTCCCCAGGAGCAGTTCTGGTGTGCAGTTAACTCAGCATTTGCCACACCCCTTTCCTCCCACAAATACATGCGTAATCTTTAGCCTAAATTGATTTATTTGATCAAAAGGATGAGACTCTAAACCCAAATAGTATAAACTCCCAGTTGAAAAACATGTACAGGGCATGTCCTGTACGGGTTAGACAAATTGTCAAGTTAGAATTTAAAAATAAACTTTCTGCAATGTAGTGCTTTCCTCACATTACTAAGCTGGGCATAAGTAATTTATATAAATCTGTGTGAAGTGAAGTTTGGTCTTGCTTGTTGGTTGTTTCTCAAAGGCAGCAATCCTGCAGTACTAAGGAGCTATAACTTAAAGCATAAAATCGCACTATAAGAGAAAGGAATTAGACTAAATCAGCACATACATTAAGACATACTTTAAAATTGCTCTTTCACCAAACTTTATATGATCTTGTTTTCTTGTAATTTTCCTAATTCTACGGGTTTGTATGCAGTAAAAATTTCTAGGTTATCTTAGGTTGCACTTACAAATCAAGTCCATCCCATGGGACATGAATTTTGGTAAATCTAGTGAGAGCTGACAATCCAGAAGGGGCCAGTCTTATGTCACTGCATGCCTCAAGTTTAATAGACACAATAGCCTGGCTTACCTTTATTCCCAGGGCTTCTCCAGAAATGACAGCAACTGTCACGCCGTCCTTACTGGGTTTAGGGATTTGTTCACTTTTCAGTTCCTGGTACTGAGGCTCCACCATCTTCTCTGAGCTCCTCAAATTAACCCACAGTTGTAGGCCATGGGCTGGCTCCTCTGAGCAAGGCATCTCGGCGTGTAGAATGCCTCGGCCTGCGGTCATCCACTGCAAACACCAAACCAACAAGAAGGAAAGGAACCAAGCTCTTAATCAGTCCACAGGTGGAACAATTACAACACCATCACTAAGTGAGGCATCTTACAGGTGCTGCTGTCAGAGCCCCCGGGCATTGAGAGGAATAACAAACATCAGTGACAATTGCTGGGGCCCTTTCCAATTTTGCAAATGCTTCCTGCGCTTTATCATTTGAAGTCAACACGTCGGAACTGGAATTCCTACAAGTGGAAGAATCCTCCCTTGGACATCACTGAGTCTTAGACTAAGCTCTAAGATGGGGAGTTGCAGGAAGATAGTATACTGGGCTGTGTTCCCAGGAGATACAACTTAAGAAGTGAAAAAAGCAGGATTGGGCAGGGGGAGAAGCCAACGAGTAATGCAGTTACTACAGAGGCTTTAGCCAATCCAACAGAGAGTTCTAGAGTTGAAAAGAACCTTCAGAATTGTTTCAACTTGAGACAGTATGGCCAAGTTTTCATATCCCCACATCAGCAAATCACTGACTGTAGACCATCCCCATGTAGAAAGCACAATTTCGGGAAAGGCAATTTCCTGCTGCAGAGGGCAGGTCCTAGGGAGGGAAGCAGCTGTGAGCCATCAGCAGCCAGCGTTCCCAGACACTGGAGGATAAATCTGTGGAGGTCCCCAGTATCCACTATACTGTGGGTGGTTAACTTGTGTCTCTACTTGCTCAGTTCCAGTAATGGAACCCTCACGACTTAGAGAAATAATTATTGCCTCCACTGTTGTGCAGATTCTTCAAGTGTTTGTTCATGTCTTTATTCAGAGCAGATTAGGGGCTCACCCCAAAGACTAAATCTCAGAATCTGCGGATGAAGGTATGAACATCATCGATGCATTTCCTACCTGTCTTAGTTCGAGTTCTCCCACAGAAGTTCCCGAGACAAAGACATGTGCAGGTTGTTTATTTGGAAAGTGATGCCAAAAGCACAGTGAGAGGGTAGGGAAGAGTGGGACAGGCAAGAGAGAAAGCCAAGAAGAGTTGTTAATGAGAAGGTTACATCCTTGGACATCCGGAATGCAATTCCACTGGGAACCATATACGTACATTCCAATTGTTGTATGGAGAAGACAGGAAGCTAGGGTATTTAGACTCCAATTCCCATCCTTCACTGACGAAGAGTTCCCATGGGAGTGTTAAATCACTGACACATATGGTTTGCCCAAAACATGGGCTGGAGAAAGCCCTCAGACAGATTAGCAGCACTTGAGATGGTCCTGTGCACATACAGGGACTGTCACCACCTGAACTCACAATTGGGCCAAGGGGATATGAGGAAGGCCATCAACAGCATCTTCCACACAGCCCTCGTCAGGGGAACAATCCTTAGACAAACAAAGACATGCATAATTATTACCATTATAATTGTTCTTGGCACTTTGAAGAATGACAGTGTTCTGTGAGCACATGAAGTGTCCTACTCAGCTCAAGGCAGCTTATCTGAGGGTGCAACCTTCAGGCTGAGATCCAAACAAGGAGTAAGAATTAGCTAGGGGAAGGAGAAGAGGAAGAAGATTCCACAGAAAGGCAACAGTATGTGAAAAAGACTCTGAGACAAGAATGAACATTATTAGTTGAAGGATCTAAAAGAAGGCCAGTGCATACTTTAAAGATTTTTTTCTTCCATGAAGTCTAGATTTCCCTCTACTCCCAGTTGAAAAGGCTTGTTAAACCTTCTAATGTAGGAGTTGGCAAACTACAGTCTGATGGCCCCATCTAATCTGCCACCTGTTTTTGTAAAGGTTTATTGGCACACGGCAATGCCCATTCATTGAATACTATCTGTGTCTGTTTTCATGCTGCAATGACAGAGTCTGGTAGCTGCAACAGAGACCATATGGCCCCCAAAGCCCATTTGCCCTTTACAGAACAAATGTGTTGACCCCGCTCTAATGCAGTATAAGGTACACCTAAACACCCTCTTATGCTGCATTTCTTCTGTCTAATGACAGCTATTGGTGTCCCTCAAAGGCATCCTCCCATTTTTAATCATTTTCCTTTTCCCTTAACGGTTCATTTCTTCATATTTTCAATACCTTGGTTATCCTCTTTAGATATGAGCTATAGAGGCAATACCTTACTTAAAATGGTCCACATATTGGATTTGGAAGGGGAGAAAAGGTTTCTCTTTCCATCCTCACCATTTACTAGCTCTGAGGCCATGGGCATCTGTTTTTAAAAACATCTTTACATGTTCTGCACATGTACCCCAAAACCTAAAATGCAATAAATTTAAAAAAAAAATCTTTAAATCCCAATTTCCTCATTTTAAAAAATGAGATAGGAATAATATTACACTTCTTTTGGCTGGGCACAGTGGCTCATGCCTGTAACCCCAGCACTTTGGGAGGCCAAGGCAGGCAGATTGCTTGAGCCTAGGAGTTTGAGACCAGCCTGGACAACATAACGAGACCCTGTCTCTACAAAAAAAAATAAAATGATCCAGGTGTGGTGGTGTACACCTGTGGTCCCACCTACTAGGGAGGCTAAGGTGGGAGGATTGCTTGAGCTGCGGAGATCGAGGCTGCAGTGAACCAAGAACACACCATTACGCTACTGCCTCAGAAACAGAGTGAGGCCCTGTCTCAAAATAATAACAATAATAATAATAGTAATAATAGTACTTATTGCACAAAGAGATCATGCATATGAAAACTCTGAATAAACTGAAAGACACTATGCAATCATCATCCTAATCAATGTGAAGTTACAGTGGTAGAAGTTGACCAATGCCTCATACATATGGCTGCTAGGCAGCTCCATGGGACAGATGGCAGAAGTCACCACTTCCATGATCAGGACATTTCCAGTTATCATATCTACCTTTGCAAGCAGTCTTCATTTCATGTTCTGCTCCAGTGAGAGGTTACTATTGACTTTTCACCATGACTTTGTTATTTTGCTTTTTTGTCTTTAAATTTCACTTTCATTGAAATATTATGATTCAAATATGTGAATTTATCATTCCTCAAAACATATATATATATAATCCCAGAAAGTACCTGGTGTAGAGTTCTGACTTACAAAACTGGCAAATATGACCCAAGTATTTTGGGGGATTTAAATTGTAACATATCTCAGGCAAGACTAGATGATGGAGGGCTCAAGGTCATCGTCTTCAGTGATAACACCTAACCCTGCAAATGAGTTGGAAGATAAATAATAAGTTGTCTCAAATGCAGCAGAGAGGTTTAGAAAGATGAGGACTAAAACAATTACTGAATTTGGCAATTGGGACATCACAAGTGATCATTACCTGAATAGCTTCAGCAAAAGTTTGGAAGAGGGCTACTGAGAGGCCAACTCTGATTACAGTGAGTGCAAAACGAATGGAAGATAATGAAGTTGGGATATCACTCCTGATTACTCTTTTGAGAAATGTAAGAAAAAGACTAGGTGGGGGCTAAAAATGATTGAGAGGTGAAGGAAAGTGTGAAATAAGAACATAAGAGACCTGTGTGGTTCCCAGGCTGAGTGAAAGGATCTGTATAAAGGGAGTAGTCAAGAATATAACAGAGAGAATGTGGAAAGGGTGAATGTACTGGAAGTGGGTAGGATCAAGCATGCACACCCAGAGACTATTAAACCACCAGCAGTTCCTTGTCCTTGGCCATACCTGCAAATCTCCTGGGTTCAGTTTACCAGTGTGTCCACAGAAGTCTTCATGGGCCATGCTGCCCCCTTCCAGAAGGTAGGATACCTTTGAAAAACAAATAGGAAGAAAACATAGGTCCTTTGCCCATTTTTTAAACTGGGTTATTATTTAATTATTCCTACTGACTTGTATGAGTTCCTTGTATGTTTCGGAACTTAATCCCTTATTGGATAATATAGTTTGCAAACATTGTCTCCTATTCCATGAGTTCCTTTTTCATTAAAAAGATAAATAGCCTGGGTGGGTCACGAGGTCAAAAGATCGAGACCATCCTGGTCAACATGGTGAAACCCCGTCTCTACTTAAAATACAAAAAATTAGCTGGGCATGGTGGTGCGTGCCTGTAATCCCAGCTACTCAGGAGGCTGAGGGAGGAGAATTGCCTGAACCCAGGAGGAAGAGGTTGCAGTGAGCCAAGATCGCGCCATTGCACTCCAGCCTGGGTAACAAGAGCGAAACTCCGTCTCAAAAAAAAAAAAAAGAAAAGAAAAATAGCCACTACTTGGAATAGTCTCAAAAGTTTTTGGTAAAAGAAAGAAAAATAGCCAAAGGACTTGAATAGACATTTTTCCAAGGAAGACATACAAATGGCCAACAGGTATGTGAAAGGTACTCAACATCACCAGAAAAATGCAAACGAAAGCTGCAATGAGATATCATCTCAACTTCTGTTAGGACAGCTATTAACAAAAAGTCAAAAGATAGCAAGTGTTGGTGAGGACGTGGAGAAAAGGGAATCCTTATATATTGTTGGTGGGATGGTAAATTAGTATAGCCATTATGGAAAAGAATATGGAGGTTCCTGGAAAGATGAAAACTAGAACTCCTAGATGACACAGCAATTTCATCCTGGGTGTATATCCAAACAAGATAAAATCACTATCTCAAAGAGTTAGTTTATACTCCCATGTTCATTGCAGCATTATTCATAATAGCCAAGATATGGAAATAACTAAAGTATCTGTCAAACACTAAATAGCTAATGTGGCACATATATACAATGGAGCACTATTAAGCCTTAAAAAGGAAGGAACTCTTGCCATTTTCAGCAACACAGATGAACCTGGAGGATACTATGCTAAGTGAAATAAGCCAGACACAGAGGGACAAATACTGCATGATCTCACGAAAACAGAGAGTAGAAGGGGAGCTACCAGGGGTCAGGAGGTAGGGAACATGGGAAGATGTTGATTAAAGGATACAAACTTTCAGTGGCAAGATGAATATGTTCTGAAGTCCTAAAGCACAGCAGAGTGACTAGAATTAATAATAATGTCTTATACACTTAAAATTTGCTGAGAGAGGTCTTCTGTGCTCTCACCACAAAAGTAAGTAACTGTGAGATAATGGATACCTTGGCTTGATTGTGGTAATCATTCCACAACATATACATACATCAAATCATCACATTATACACCTCGAATATAAACCATTTTATTTGTCAATAAAGCTGGAAAAAGTAGGTGTTGGGTAGCTGTGAAGAGGTGTTTGCTTTTTCCACTGAAAATTTGTTGAGGAAAGTGTCAGGAGCAACTAAGTGGAGTAAACCAAGAGAAGGACTCTCTGTGACAGGGCCACATTAGCCCTTATGTCCTTGAGAGAATTTCACCTAGGTACCCCTTCCTTCTAGCAGATAAAGGCCTGAGCCTGCCAGAGCTCACAGCTGAGTGAAAGGAGCCCCCACTCACCCTTCAGCCCAGCAGATGATGGCCGTGCCATGGTGGGCTCTGGAGATCAGGGTGAAAGAGAGCCAGTTCCTTTTGAACCAGCAGAGTCCTTGTTACCAAGACTTGTTCACACAAGTGTGTAGGATGACATATGTGAGGTTGCCACAACTTCCCCAAAAAGCTGCCTCGGGAAATCCAAAGGAAAACTATTTCTGACACCAAGCACACAAACTGTCTAGGTGTTCAATAAATGCTCATAAAATATGTTAAATGAATTCATATAAATTAAAGTCAACTTTTCCAGGGACATGTCCATACTAAATCTAAAAGTGGAAAGACATTCTATGCTGTCCAATAGAGTAGCCACGTGTAGCTATTTAAATTAATTAAAATTAAATAAAACTGGCTGGGCACAGTAGCTTATACCTGTAATCCCAGCACTTTGGGAGGCTAAGGCAGGCAGATCGCCTGAGGTCAGGAGTTCAAGACCAGCCTGGCCAACATGGTGAAACGCTGTCTCTACTAAAAATACAAAAAAATTAGCCAGGCGTGGTTGTAGGCGCTTGTAATCCCAGTTACTCAGAAAGCTGTGGCAGGGGCATTGCTTGAACCCGGGAGGTAGAGGTTGCAGTGAGCCAAGATTGCGCCATTGCACTCCAAACTGGGCTATACGAACAAGGCTTCATCTCCAAACAAACAAACAAACAAATGAACAAAAAAATAAAGTTTAAAATTTAGCACTTCAGGTGCACCTGCCACATTTTGGGTGCTCAAAAGCCCCATCTAACTAATGGCTACCATATAGGATAGTGCAGATTATAGAACATTTCCATCTTTACAGAAAATTCTATTTGACAGCACAGATTTAGATAGAATGATTTTGAAAATCAGTAGTCAACTATGGTAGGCATTTTGTGTGGATACAAAAATCTTCCCAGGACTTTCTGCAATCACAGTACATTTTGGTAGAACAAGACTCATATCAACTCTAAAAAGCAGAAGAAAATTAAACCTTCTCATTTTATTATTCTACCAGAGGGAAAAATCAAGGAACTCTAAACTTCTCATTTTAAGGCTATTGTGATTACTCTAGCAAATAAAGATTAAAAGATACCAAATAATTTGCAAGAATTTTAAATTACCTCAGGCACATGGTAACATTGTTATTTGAAATATATAATTTAGCACTTAAGGCTTAAAATGTTGTATGTTAGGACACGGGCTCTTTTTGTATAATCTATTTGGATTCGACATCCATTTTGTATGCATTTGGGAAAATTTATCTGTAACTCCTGCAAGAAATACCCATCAGCCTAAACAGTTCTGAAAGGCATGTGTGAAACCACATTTATCTGCGAACCACATGTGGCTCCCCAACTTAAGCTTAAGGGCCATAAGTTCTAACATTTACATGATCATTATTGGATGCATTTTTGTACATTAGCTATCTAAATGTTTTCTTTAAAACAATGTGTTTATCCCTTTTAGTCTCGGATATTTTACTTTAAAATTGTATTAACCGTTATTAAATGAGTGAACCAAAAAATGTAGTCTTTGACTACAATCCCAACGTCTCTCGTAATTATGCAGCCAGACCTAATTTTCACTCAAATATATTCAACCAAATATACCAATTTAAATCAGTGCTTAAAAAGAATAAGTAATGCTTTTTACCAACAAATTCACACACACACACAAACAGAGTGGAAACATAAGATTTAAAGAAGAAAGAAAAACAAAAGAAAATGCCCAGGAGGCAAGAGCAGAGAAAATATTTATGAAGTTCTCAGCATATACATCAGATATTGCTGTTTTACACAAAATTGTTATTTCCTCTATGCAAGTACTCATCGAATATGTCAAAGCCAGACTGTTTTTGTAGTCTATGTTTTTGCTTTATCCTAAGGCATAAAAAGTAGACCTAACTAGTCTTTTTTTTTTAATTTTTTATTGGATTTTAGGTTTTGGGGTACATGAGCAGAGCATGCAAGACAGTTGCGTAGGAACACACATGGCAGTGTGTTTTGCTTTCTTTCTCCCCTTCACCCACATTTGGCATTTCTCCCCAGGCTATCCCTCCCCACCTCCCCCTCCCACTGGCCCTCCCCTTTTCCCCCCAATAGACCCCAGTGTTTAGTACTCCCCTCCCTGTGTCCACGTGTTCTCATTTTTCATCACCTGCCTATGAGTGAGAATATGCGGTGTTTCATTTTCTGTTCTTGTGTCAGTTTGCTGAGGATGATGTTCTCCAGATTCATCCATGTCCCTACAGATGACACAAACTCATCATGTCTGATTGCTGCATAATATTCCATGGTGTATTTGTGCCACATTTTCCCAATCCAGTCTATCATCAATGGGCATTTGGGTTGATTCCAGGTCTTTGCTATTGTAAACAGTGCTGCAATGAACATTCGTGTGCATGTGTCCTTATAGTAGAATGATTTATAGTCCTTTGGGTATATACCCAGTAATGGGATTGCTGGGTCAAATGGAATTTCTATTTCTAAGGCCTTGAGGAATCGCCACACTGTCTTCCACAATGGTAACTAGTCTTTTTTTATACAAAAATTCCAAAAGTTGTTTTAAAAATCATAAATGGCAATGGTTTATTAATTTGTCCAATACTTTTGTGTATTTAGGACATAATAATAAGATATCAATTCACAGATATAAAACCCATGATACAATAATTTTAAAATAATATATTGAGTAGGTAAGTGCGCCAACAACATTCATTGAACAAATACTCACTGACGTCCTATAATGTCCGAAGTACTGTGCTGGGAGTTAAAAAAGTGGAGAAGACAAATACAGTACTTGTCTTCATGAAGCTTATATTCTCATGAGGAAGACATATAGTAAGTAGGATTGGTAGATTTGAAAGTAGAAATTGAGTTTGCAGAGCCCAGCCCCCTCCTCTCTCCCTCCTCTTGAGAGTCAGCCTATCCTCTTCCTCTCTTCCTTTGCCTCTATGAGAGGACTAGCACCTGTGGTGGTAGCCTACAGGGGTCTAGCACAGCTGCTGAGATCTGAGTACGTCTACCTTATTTTCAGGTGCAGTATTCAGAAGCCCACCTGCCTGCAGATATAAGCCACCTTCTCCAATATCAGCTTTATCAGAAATAAAGGTATTTTTGTCTGCCATCTTTCTTACTCCTTTATCTTCTCAATTGGTTGAGAATTCAGTCTGGGAGAACAAGAGATGATTTATTATGCTTCCTAATACCTAAACTAAAAGCAACAAAAGCCTTACTACAGTCATGTTGTTGACATTTTATATTGTAGATTTATAATAAACTCTTCCTAAGCTAACTTTATTGGATGGCAGTTTTTGAAACAAAATATTTATAGAGCACTTAATACAGTGCAAATCAG